GTCACAATCTTATCCACCAACCCGACATGTATTAAATATCGGATCGACGGATAAGATTGAATGACGTGTCCCTATTTAGTCTTCCGTTAGAGTGAAGGGCATATATGCTCTAATTTTTGGACGACAAGCGCACCAATGTCCCAAAAGCATGACGGAGGGTATCTGCATACCATTTACGATAGTTCGGGGTATATTTGTTTTTTTTCCCTTCAAAATATCACACCAACATATTATTAAACGTAGGTAAAAGTCATGATATACTCCTCAACTTTGTTATTTAGAGTTGATACGCTCCTCGTTACAAAAGTATTTATATTTGTAATTTTTTTTAGGATATCCATAGTAGAGATTATAAGAAAATAAGTGAAAAGAATAAATTTGACCATCAAAATAATTAATTCAAATTAGTTGTTGAATTAAAAAAGTAAAAAAAAACATGTGAGAAGGATAAAATATATCCCTACATGGATTATTTTTTAATAAAAAATCATTTAAAATTATATTTTCACTTTCCTTAGAGAAAAAGGGTATACGTGAGTCATTTGTGTAACAATGAGGATATATATGAGCTACTTTTGGAATGGAGATATAACAACTCTAAATGATAAAGTTGAGGGGTATATTAGACCATTTTCCCATCAAACATTGTTATGAATAAAGGGAAAATGTGTATGGATAAAGTGATACCCCCTCTATTTCATATTAGCTAAATTTGTGACGTAATGTACATTTATTAAAAAGAAAACATTCAAGGATATAATTCAAATCATACTTATTATTATTGTTCTTGCGAAATCATAAATATAATTTTACAAATAGTGTAATTTATCTCCTAAAAAATATCAAATCTCATATTAAGGGAAAGGACAAATATATATAAAGAAAACAAATAATAATATTGTGCAGGATTTTCATGAAGGGATGTCAATGATTGTAGTAAGAAAATAGAACAAATAATTACGAGGCTAATAGAGCCTGAACACACAACCTTAAGGAACTTTTGTAACCGCTTAATCACTACACCGAACCTTCCATTTATGTCGATAAGTGTCAATACTTTTTTATATATATTTTTAAACCAAAATTTGACCTAGATACAATGTAATTTTCCGACGAAGGGGTGTCACTTGATACCCCTCGGCCAAGGGTGGGTCCGCCCCTAGGTGAGGAGGGAGAAAGCATAACACTCCTTTTATTATAATTTGTTTGTCTATTTTTAGCGTGATGGAAATTTTCAAAAATTATTTTTTTTTCAAAATATATAGTCTTATAAATTAAAAATAGATAGAATGTATCAAAATATCTTTTAAATTTTATTTTTTAAAATGTATTTTGTGCAAAGTTAAAACAAAAAAAAAGTAGACAATGTTTTATTTTGTTTTAAATAATGAATTAAAATAAAAAATAAAACAAATAAATTGAGACGAGGACTATTTAGAAAGAAAAAAAAATTGCTCGTATATTTTATGTAATATTTAGAAAGAAAAGAATTGCATGTATATTTTATGAAACTTTTTTTGGTCCCCGACTTCCTGTTGCATATAAAGCAAATACATATTTTTTCCTTTCTAATAAATATATATAACATCGTTTGGCTTAATATATAAATTTAAATAAAAATAAAGTATTTTTATAATTTATAATTTAAATAAAATTTAAATATTTATATGACTAAAATTATCCATTACAGATAAACAGAAAAATAAGTTAAATTCCTTATTATTATAGAAAAAATCATTCTTTTTCTGATCGAACTAAAAAGGAAAGTTTATCACAAAAATTGATCATACCGTGGAAGTAATATTTTTGATAAAATAGTAAATTTTACTAGTAGACTACTATATTAGCTAGCCTTTGGCCCCAAGTTTCCAAGTATGTTTGTCAAATAATAAATGGGATAAGTTTTTCCCAAGTTAACACCATGTGTTAGGCCCCAAGTTTCCCAAAAATTATTTGACTATTTCAAAAAATATGATTTATACGCATAAGTTCTAAAAACTATAAAAATATTCATAACTTTGTATTATCTATTTATAATGAATATGTTCCGTTAAAAATAACCTTATAACATAATTGATAACAATCAACAACAACAAAATAAACAATATAGGCAAGAGCAACATACTAATACATATTCAAATTTATCATTGATTCGGTTATAATTATAACAATCTCCGGGGGAGATAGTAGCAAACTATTTCTTTATATAATCTTCCCACATTCTACGAACAATCTCTTTCCGACAAGCTTTCATTTCTAGATTAGATATGGTAGAAACGTTTGTCTAATTAGATGGATTTTCCTAATTTTTCTTTTTAAATTTTGTAAATAACTATTGATTTCAAATCAACACTTAAAAATGGGGTCACAACTCACAAGTCCTGTGACCAAAAACCTACTTGAGACTCTAGATACAACCTTGAATCAAGGTCAGAGATTCAAGACTCGAGTCCTAAAAAAATCTCAAGTAGTAAATTCAAATTAAAGTAAATCTTAAATATAAGCTAAAATTAAGTTATATTGAAGATTACTTTAAAAATAAGTTATATTGGATCGAACTAAAATCAACTCAATATGAAATTAGCTTATACCTTACTCATAAAAGTTTGAATAAATTAAGTGGACCATCAATTTTTGAGCATATTTGACATCCCTCCTTGCAATCATGCATCCCCTTGTCCATTTCACGTACCTAAAACTATATAGTAACCTCTATATAAACTAGGCTAAATTAAACGTGTAAAATGATAATATTTTTTTTGAATTTTCTTTAGTTGATTCAATGTATACATAATTAAAGTAAGAAAACATAACAATAATGAAACTTGTTTTCCCATTGATATAGCAAGCTAGTTTCCTCAAGGTAATAATGAAGCTACCATCAAGCATTAAAGGGAAGTGGTGACGTGGCTGAAAAAATATTTTTTGTGAAAGTATATACTATTATTTTTTGTGATTTGCTATATTACATTTACCTCCTCTATTTTGATTTCTTTGACAAAACTTTTGATCTATTTATTTTTATATTAATAACATGAACTAATTTATTTGAAATAGCAAGCGAGGCCTACTCATTATCTTTCAAATAATTAAGAATATGAGGTTAAGTATAGGTAGATCACCACTAACACCTTGTTTGGATGGTTGTTACTGGTTGTATTGTATTGTATTGTTAGTTTAAATATAATGTTTGTTTTGATTGTTACTTAAATTTTATTGTATCGTATCGTTTAAATATATCTTTAGGTAACGATGAAAAGACTTATTTTATGTAACAGCCGATTTGGCGTGATCGAGTCGTTACCTTAATATATTTTTCTATTTTTTTTTAGTATTTAATAATTATATTTTATCTTTTAACCTACATTTTCATAGTAGCTCTACCCCGTACACTACTTTTCATGTGGGTTTATCACTCAAATTATGAATGTGTGACATTATGTAATGGCGAAGAACGATACAATCTATCCAAACACCGTATTCATTAAAATAATAAAATACGATATAATATAATATAACACAACACAATATAATACGATATATTATGAAACAATATGTGACAACGTAATCCTCCAAACAAAAGTGTATATAGGATTAGATTGGCGTAATGTGTATAATGTCAGCTTTGAAAAGAATAAAAATTTGGAAGCTACATATCTACTTGACCTACCTTCAAAATAAAAACATGAAAAATACTTTAGATAATCTACCATTAAAAATTCAAATATAAAAGTAAGAAAAGGACACATCAAAATCAACAGGTGCATGCACGGATCATAATATCTTCTTTGAACACAAAATGTTATCGAAGACTAAGGACCGTTTGGCCATGTGATATGAAATCATGATATGGTATCATAATATGGAATCATGAGATGAAATTGAAGTTTTGTTTGGATATGTGATATGAAATTTTTGTGTTGTATATTTTCTCATAAACATAAGAATCTCATAAGTTGTAAAACTATTAAAATAGCCCTAATTGTTTATTCAATCTTACCAAATAATTTTTTTTTATAAAATCGCATAATAAATTATTACAAATCTATTTGTTTCCCACTTAAGTAACAATTTCATCAAACTTTAATTCAATAAAAAAAATTGAACATAAATTGTAGTGAACTAGTCTTTAATATAATTCTCCCACATAATACGGACATTCTCCACAAGTTCTAAAAACTATAAAAAAAAATATCCATAAGTTTGTATTATCTATTTATAATGAATATGTTCTGTTAAAAATAACCTTATAACATAATTGATAACAATCAACAACAACTAAATAAACAATATAGGCAAGAGCAATACATTAATGCATATTCAAATTTATCATTAATTCAGTTATAATTATAACAACCTTCGAAGGAGATAGTAACAAATTATTCCTTTATATAATCTTCCTACATTCTACGAACAATCTCTTCCTGTCAAGCTTTCATTTCTAGATCAGATGACTGAAAAAACGAAATAATATTGTTACTCTGAGTCAATTGTTCGTCATATAGATATGTATTAGTAGAAAGCAATAAATGATGTGTATTTTTTTTTATAAAATATAAAAGTTTGAGATAATTTTTGAATTTTTTAAAGTTCCCAAATATTTCTCAAGTGTCCAAAAACTAGTTTTTCTAGTATTTAAGAACTTGAAATTCTTGGCAATAAAAATTTTGGTCCCCGAGTCCCTGTTGCATATAAGGTAAATACATATACTGTTTTCCTCTTAATATAAGTAGAATTGTTTGACTTAATATAAAATTTAAGTAATTTTTTTTAAAAAAATTATGATTCTAAATAAGTTTTAGATATTTATATGACTATAAATTATTTAATTAAAGAGAAAAAGAGATTTTTAAAAGTAAATTCTTTTTAATTATAGAAAAATATCTTTCTTTCTTTTGATCAACTAAAAAGGAAATTGTATCATAAAAATTAACTATATATTGAAAGTAATATTTTTGGTAAATTAGTAAATTTTACTAGTAGACTACTATTTTAGTATTTTATTTATAGTGGGGGCTGTCAAGATTCAGTTACCATGTAGTTGGGAGAGATCCTGTCATAAGACCACCACAATCCTCTTGTCTTTCTCTTTTTCTCTGTGTTTTGAGAGATTCAAGAAAATCTTGGTGACCCAATTCAAGAATCTTCAAGAAATTGTAATGGGTACTTACCATTTTTTCTCCTTCTGTTCCATGGGGGTTTTGGTGTGGGTGGGTAAAAGTTGTTATCTTGAGTTTGTTTTTGTTAATTTCAATACATGAGTGTTTTTGTGTTAATGGGTCAATCTTGAATTTTCTTGATTTTTTTTTTCTTAGCTTTGTGTTTATGGTTTGTGTAATTTGGTAGATTTGTTTAGTTGTCTGTTTGTTTGGTGTCTCCAACTACTGATTTTGTTTGTGTTTTTTTGAGCTGTTAACATTATTGAGCTTTTGATGTCTATGGTTTCCACACACATAAATAAACACAGAGGCCGAACCAGTATTAAGAGTTTGAGGTTCTAAATTTCCTTCTCTTTAATTTTCATTGAATCGTAAATCAGTTTTGTTAGGAATTCATAAGTTAATATTCATATATATGGTGTACGAAAAGCTACTGAATTGTTCGAATCCACGAACCCCACTTCGCTCCGTCCCTGCATAAACATATAGCCCCACCAACACACACACCCAAATATAGGTACAGTGTACAAATACCTTTTAGCCTTCTTAATTAGCCCTTCTTTGGTATTATTTGGTTATTCTTACTCATTCTAGTCTTAAATGATTGGTCAAATTTAATTTTCCCCCTTTGCTTAAAAATTACTTGCTTTACATTCTTGGTTGGTAATGCTGATTCTCTCTGTTTGTGTTTTTATCTTTTTGTTTCTAAAGCTACAGTTAGCTATTCTCAGAACATAATGGATGATGAATATGAAAAATTCATAAGAAGAATGAATCCACCAAGGTACTATTTCTTCAATTTGTTGGTTTTTTTAAACTTTTAATGATTTATTATTAGTAAGGCTTTGCATTTACATTATGTTTCATTGTCTTTATGTTAGAGTGGTGATTGACAATGATTCTTGCAAAAATGCTACTGTTATACAGGTTTGTGTGAGTTTAGGTTCTTTGTTGTTTTATTGCTAGTGAAAAAGGGGATCTTTTATAATTTTGTTTAACTTTCTAGGTGGATAGTGCTAACAAACATGGAATACTTTTAGAGGTGGTACAAGTTTTAACTGATCTTAATCTTGTTATCACTAAGGCTTATATTTCATCTGATGGTGGATGGTTCATGGATGGTAATCATCTCTATCTTTACTTTTCATTTCATCCTTTGTCGCTCAGATTCTTGAAAAATGTGTTGACAGATGTGTGTCAGATTCTCCAAAAGTAGTGCATTTTTGGAGTGTGAGCAACATCTGGCGTTTGTTCCTTTCACTTTGAAAAGGGAATTTATGACACTTGTGTTGCTCGGACTCTTCAAAAATGTGTCGACGGGTGTGTGTTAGATCCTCTAAAAGTAGTGCATTTTTGGAGAGTCTGAGCAACATCTAGCATTTGTTCCTTTCACTTTGAAAATGGAATTTACCTCATCTTTTAAGGGGTGATTTGTAAGTTGATACTCTTTTGGCAGTTTTCAATGTGACTAATCAAGAAGGGAACAAGATTACAGACGAAGCGATGTTGGATTATATCATGAAGGTGAGTTTTATCCTGTGTGCAAAAGCTAGGCACTTGTTCTTTTGCATTGGTGTGGAAAAGCTACTGAATTTTGTTTTTTGTGGTTGTCATTTTCAGTCTCTTGGTCCGGATTCTAGTTTCGCGTCATCAATGAGACGATCAGTTGGAGTTACTACAGGAATGGACTACACTTCAATTGAGTTAATCGGAAGTGATAGACCGGGGCTATTGTCTGAGGTGAGCGCTGTCCTCACGAATCTCAAATGCAATGTGGTTAATGCTGAGGTGTGGACTCATAACACCCGAGCAGCAGCTATAATGCAAGTTAAGGATGAGGAAACGGGAGGTACAATTAAAGATCCGGAAAGGTTGTCTATGATGAAGCAACTTTTGTGCAATGTACTTAGATGTAGCAATAAATTAAGGGATGCAAAAACAATAGTATCTGACGGGGTCTCTCATACCGAGAGAAGGCTTCACCAGCTAATGTTTGCAGACCGAGACTATGAACGTGCTGCTGGTGAAGTGTTGGATGAATAAGAGAGGCCTAATGTGAGTGTCGTTAATTGGCACGACAAGGACTACTCCGTTGTGACAATCCGGTGCAAGGATAGACCAAAGCTTCTATTTGATACAATTTGTACATTGACCGATATGCAGTATGTGGTTTTCCATGGTAATGTTGATGCTGAAGGACCAGTAGCCCAACAGGTACTAGAATTTCCTATTCGTTTCGCAAGTTCTAGCATTGTATTTTTTCCCGGAAAATTTGTGAACTAAAACTATAAACTCTGTTCTCATTGAAGGAGTACTGCATAAGACATATAGATGGTTCCCCGGTGAAATCAGATGCAGAACGACAACGAGTGATTCAATGTCTTGAAGCAGCTATAGAAAGAAGGGTATCTGAGGTTAGCACTAGTGATTCACTTCCTAAAATCTTCTTAGATCCGTTATTCGACATTTATTCAGCTCTAGATAGCTTTTTCGTGCGAAATTGGTAGATGTAATTGGTTCTTCAATTCACTGGTGTCAACTTATATCCTTTACCTTGTCTATGTCGATCAAATTCTGTTTCCAGATCCTTTTGGAGATGATATTTTTGCCTAATTCGTTGATTTAGAATTTCAAGAGAGTACGATTTTGAACGATGCAAAATAGGTTCTTTTCTTTCTGTTTTGTCTTCAATACAACACATACAATGTTATCTCACAAAGTGAGGTTTGGGAAGATAGAGCGTCCACAGTCTGATAATAACAGATATCGAAGGACAAGAAACTATAGGAGAAAAGACAAACATTGAAGTATATTTTATTTATTAGAGTAAAGGTGTCTCTCTTAGCTTGTCTAGTGCATGCTTCTGGCTATCTATTTGTCTATTAGTTGTCTGATGATGTCTTACAATTCTAATTTATTGCCTCAGTGATGTCAGATAGATTTGGAAATATCCTCTTGGAAGAAAATATTGGAGTCCTATAATGTCATGTTCTTGTCTTGTAGGCTTTGGATTATGTTTTAATCGAACATCGATTTTCGTTTTTTTCTCTTGTCTTTCCAGGGATTGAAACTAGAACTATGTACCACGGACAGAGTAGGACTACTCTCCGATGTTACTAGGATCTTCCGCGAGAACAGCCTCACCGTCACCAGAGCAGAAGTGACAACTAGAGCTGGCAAAGCTGTTAATATATTCTACGTTCGCGATTCATCAGGATATCCTGTTGATGCTAAGATCATAGAATCCGTTCGTCAGACAATCGGACAGACGATTCTTAGTGTGAAAGGCAACATTGCAAAGTTAAATCCAGTTCCACAAGAATCTCCAACCAGGTTTCTTTTTGGTGGTCTATTCAAGTCTAGATCCTTTTGTAATTTCGGGTTGGTTAGGTCGTATTCTTGAAAGACACTCGATCTAGTCCTCGTCGTGTGTACATTTGATCCCCTCTGCATCATCAAACCTACATTGGTTCTTGCTAGGTTTAAAGGCATGTCATTTGTCTGTAAATATGTTTTCATGATCGTTTTGCTATGTTCATTGGTTATGGTTCAATACCATGTTGACCCAATCAGTTTGATCAGCTTATAAGCTTTAGTCAAGTGCCCTTTTACTCTTTTGTTTTTAATATATTTTCGTGATCGTTTAGCTTTGTCTATTGGTTATGGTTCAACACCACGATGGTTCGCTAATACGCTAAAACGTGTTTATAAGCTAGTTTGACTAGTTTAATCAAATGCCCTTTTTACTCTTTTTTGCTTTTAATATGTCTCAACTGTACAGTCAAATGTGGCCCTTCATGTTTGACTTGATTTCGATATTTTCTATAGTTTTAAAGAACATTAATTGGAGGGATTAAACATGAGAAAAAGGACAAATATGGTCCCTTAGTACTTGTCGGTAGGTTCGATATAGTCCTATAAATATGCACACAATAGTTTTGGTCATAACACTTTTTGTTTTTGTCAAATTTTTAAACAATTTATGTTCGTTAAATTTGACAGAAATAATGACAAGAATAAAAACAAGAAACTCATATTTAAGTTTACGAAGATGTAGCTTTTTATTATTATTATTTTATATCTTTTTAATGTTTAGTGTAGTTTTTTGTGTTACGTGTTTAAATCTTTCTAACCACTATTTTCATCGAATCTAATAAACATAAATTGTTAAATATCTAATTGGAGACTAAACATACTTAAAAATTAAAATTATTTTAAGCTTATCCTCAAACATGTGTGATGATTTTTGTCATTTTCTTGGTTAAACATTATATTTAAAAAATGTTATAAAAGACAATGTCATTAATCACATTAATTGTTTTCCTTAATAAGTGGAGTCATCCACCTTTGACAAGGCGGCTTGTCACTTTTGATTTTGGTCATCATTAATAAATGAGCTTAGCATAAAAAACGAGTTAGTTTAGTTGGGTTGTCGTGGATTAATTGGATTCCTTCTACTTTTATGATTGGAGCATGCTAGCTTCTTTTTTCTCATTGAAAAGATAAAAACAGAAAAAAATAATCTAAAATATCATTAAACTATTGAAAATAGTATAAAATTATTCTCCGTTCATCAAATAGCCTCCAAATATCTTCGATGGCCACCTTTAGATTTCATATTATCCTTATTTTTAATACCCCTCAATTTTAAACTCATTTAATGAATTTATGAATGATGTGGCGGTAAATGGTCATCTATTGATCGTCTTTTAAATACATTGATGTTGACAAAATTGATCATAAAAAGATTAATTTCACTTCCTTTTTTTTTTTTTTTGAATAATTTGAGAGACTAAAAAAGATGGATGGATAGAGTTGGAGCCCCTCATTGTGACATCATTGTTCTCTTTCTCCCATCTACATCCCCATGGAGTAACACTTTTGCAAAATTTTAAAAAAGTCCTATCCTAGAAATAGTAGAGAAAATAAATCACAAATGGAAAAGTGATCCAATTGATTTTCCTTTTGACCAAACAATGCCGAAAGGAAAGGAAATTGTTGTTATTTGAATATCTAATGTACACAACTAAGAAAAGACATTCTAAAATGGTGAAAGAATAAGTGGAATGAGGAGAGGAATGGAGACCTCTTTCTAGAGTGGCACTCCTATCTAACCAAAAAAGGAAATTCAATTCCCCTCTTCAACTTGTGCATGATTGATCCTAATTATGAAAATAATATTCATATATAATGTGAAAATATATATATATATATATATATATATATATATATATATATATATATATATATATATATATAAAGAAGAATTTAAGGCATTATGTCACTCTAGACGAGAATTATAATTTTTATATTACAAAGACTTGAAATTAGTATCTATTTTATAACTTTGTTTGATATTATAGAATTTTAAATTAAGCTACTTAAAGTTTACTATCTACCTAATTCTTTTTTACAATAAGAGCCAAGATATTATATTGGAACATATGACTAACATTTCATTAACTTGAATCAACTTTTTTCAAATTATATATAAGATACTAACATTTTACCTACTGTAAATTTAAAACACCTATTAATTATTAGTTATTTAATATAAACAAAATTTATAAGTACTTTAAATAATGATATTTCATAATTAATTGATTAGGCAGCTACATATAGACCACCTAAAAAAAAGTATTTATTATTTGATTCATACCTTGATATTAAAAGTCTCTAACATGACCAATACTTAAAATGACAATTCATAAAAGAAAAATACCTATACTAAGATCGGCTAGAACAAAGTGATCACCAAAAGGAATTACTGAATAACTTAGGAAGACAGATATTAATGTTATGAATGGTTCATTACTGAATAAATGAGTATATATCTTGTTGATGGAATACGAATCTCTTTCAAATTGTCTCATATGCTAGAGCTTGAAGAATTTCTAAATGATCGGCGCATTCAGATCTAATATGTTATTATATTCTTACTGATATGTTTCTCTTTCTAACCAAATCAATCAAATATATAATAAGAAAAGAGTTTAAATTTGCTATTGTATGAGCAATTTTATCATCCATTCAACTTTCGACACCATGGTCTTGTCTTGTCATTATTAAATCATTTTATATTTACTCTTTTCATTAAAAGGAATTTGGGCAACTTCGTATGTTTGAATTACACAAATTTTGTTCTTGTCTGGAAATCCAATATATGCCGTCATGATTATGATTGTCTTACGTAATGATACATTTTATTTATTTTCTTATCAATGTTGTCTACAATAATTCAAAAAACAATTTGCAAATAGACATATAGTACTATTCCCTTTTAATTAGCACACAAGCAACATAAAGCAAATTATCTACTTTTTATTTTACTCATATATCTTCTCATTAGACTTTAACAGATGAAATCACTTATATTGACTAATTAAATACATAAAATAAGTTGCAGATAAGATTATTTAAAACAAATTTAAAGCCGAGTCATTGACTAACTTATGATACGGAGAAAACCAATAAAACTTAGTATAACATGAATTTTTGAAACTACAAGATATTGAGCATACGATATCTATATTATACATATGTGTAGGATTATGTAAACGAAATTTCACAGTATAAAAAGAGTTATTAGTATGCATACCTTACGGATAGGAGAAATTGAAATATGTAGTTGATTAGAATATCATGCTAATAGTGTGTTTTAAATTAATAGCAAATAAAATAATATAAAATAAGATCTCTTAGACAAGAAATGTACTAGGAGAGATGATTTATCTTCTTTCAAGTGTGTTGGAGTGTGTCTTCCAACAAATATGAAGAATATCTTTTTAGAGAATATACAAATCATAGTTAGATATAAAACTTAAGTGATGCCTTAATTAGATACATGTATGCTATAGAATCATTGAATGAAATATCCACACAATTAAATATATATTAACATTATTTTTAAATTTTTGTGATTGCTCTCTATCACATGGTATTGGAACAGCCATGAACGTGATTCAACTTTTTAAAATAAAAAATAATCATCTCCTTAAAACTACTATTCATTTTAGTCTAAGTTTTTTTTTTCATCCGATATTTGTCATATTGGAATTTGATTAAATTTAAAATTACGTCAAGAAAACTCACATTTAAAGGATAAAGCGACTTCTAACATAGACGACTCCGGAACCAGTAAGACTCGAATATAAAATCTCTGGATAAGAATTAAGGAGTACTTAATTACCACTCTAACACAACTCTTGTTGATTGCATCTAGTTATTCTATTATTCCCTCTGCTTCAATACATGATATGTTCGAATCTAACAAATGGACTTTTTAATTTTAATTATAAAATTTATATATTTAAAATTAAATAAAAGATACTATAAGTTATAGTAAAATAATAACATAATTTAATTAGTAGAGTCCGAAAATAATAGAATGTATGCATATTTGTCACGATCCAAACCGTCGTGAGTGACACACACACTAACCCTCATTTGCGAGAACCAAAACTACAGCCCAACTAATCAATTTAACCAAAGTAATACACATTTAAAGTTACGGAAGCAGGTTTAATTAACTATGTGATTAATAGGGAGTCCCCATAAACTCCAAAGGTTTAAATAAACTAGTCAAACTAATGCGGAAGAACAACCCCTAGAACCTAAAAGACATTGTACCAGAACTCGACTAAAGACAAGTCTAAGAATCTGGGGTACAACCCCGAAACTAAACAACACCATAAACAAATAGTCTAAGTCCGAAAAGAGTGGGCTTAAACAAGAAAGATCCATGGCAGCCTGAAAGAATTGGCTCACCCTTGAATCCGGTCACGCTCAAAAGTCACTTAGCTGAGGTCTATCAATAGCCGCCTGAAGATGCTCTATACTCAATAAAGAAAAAGCAAGTGCAGTATCAGTACACAACCACAGTGTACTGGTAGGATCACACGGGTATCCAGTAAGTGAAACATATGCAAGTAACCACAACATTATAAACATGCAAATATCGAACATATACAATATTAGTTATGTTTTCAGGATCAATGTAGCATCCTACGTTCTCAATAATACACATTGGTTATCAATTTAGAGCAACATATAGTCTTCCAATATCAATTATCATTAGATATGAACATAATCATCACAAGTAGATACACAACACAATTCAATGGTCCTCTCACGGAACCCAATTCAATGATCCACTCATGGAACCCACACCCAAACTGTTAGCGTATCGGTACGTGATACCCGATCCAATGTTTATGTCAGAACGTGGCAACCGATCCAATGTTTATGTCGGAACCTGGCAACCGATCCAAGTTAGTGTGTCGAAATATAACACCTGATCCATTCAACAAACCACAATCACAATGTATATTCTCACAATTATACAACAAGAGGTGATTCATGGCATACAATTATTCAATTATCCTCATTTACAATTAGGGTGATCAATAATGCAACATTTGCATACATACATGCATTATAGTGAGCAACTACAAACATATATCACACCAACATGAAATCACAACCATCACGTACCTCAAATCCAGGCTTGAATCCCCTAAGGAACTTGAATCTTCCCTTCCGGATTCTTTCCGCTTGTTCGTGGTCTAAAA